TCTGAAATGAGTTATCTGGGAAGAGGGAACTTAAACTGAGAAGATGCCTCCTTCAGACTGGACCTATAGGCAAGTCTGGGGACATCTTCTTGATTAATGACTGGCATGGCAGGGCCCAGATCATCTCACGGTGTGGGGGTGCATATCTGAACAGGTAAAGCAGACTGAGCAAGCCATGGAGATAATCGAGTAAGCAGTGTTCCTCCATGGCCTCTACTTCAGTTTCTGCCTTAAGTACCTGCCTGATTCCCTCAGTGGTGGAACTGCTACTTGGAAATGAGGATAAAATAAATCCCTTCCTTCCCAAGGTGCCTTTTTATTTTTATTTTTATTTTTTTTAAAGATTTATTTACTTATTATGTGTATATCATTCCTTCCATGTGTGCCCACATGCCAGAAGGGGGCGCCAGGTCTACATTATAGATGGCTGTGAGCCACCATGTGGTTGCTGGGAATTGAACTCAGGGACTCTTGAAGAGCAGTCAGTGCTCTTAACCACTAAGCCATCTCTCCAGACCCCCCCTCCCCCGGGTGCTTTTGATCAGTATCTTATCACCACACAGAAACATAACTAAGACAGTATTACTTATAATAAAGGATATATATGCCAGTGTGGTGGTGAACACCTTAATCCCAACACTTGGGAGGCAGAGGCAGGCAGATGTCTGAGTTTCAGGACAGAATGGTCTACAGATTGAGTTCCAGGACAGTCAGGGATATATAGAGAAACCCTGTCTTGAAAACCCAAAATTTAAAAAGAAATTTTATTTGACTATAGTAATCATAAAGTTGTTTATAAACTGAGAAGTGAACTTTTGCATAAAGACTGAAGTATATCTTAAGAAAAAAAACCAAAACATAGTCTTTTTAAAAACTACTAAAAGGACCTAAACTTGGAGCTGGAGAGATGGCTCAGTCACTGAGAGTGCTGGCTGCTCTTCCACAGGACTCAGGCTCAATTCCCAGCCCCCACATATGGCAGGTCACAACTGTCTGTAACTCAGCCCCAGGGGATCCAACAGCTTCTTCTGGTGCCTGTGGGCACAAGGCAAACTCATGGTACACAGACATAGATACAGGTAAAAGCACCTATACTCAAAAATTAAAATTTAAAAACCCTAAAATTTATCTCTGCAAAACAAGTGGTTTGGTAACAACCCCAATGTGTCTTACGACTGGGAACTATAGATGGCATGCTATAATTTATCACTATGTAGTTGTTTTCCACCTCTGCTTTATCATAAACCTAATTTTGAAAAATAAATTTCAGATAATATTTCTATTTCGTTCACTAGTCTGGGTATATCACAAAACAGATGCTCCTCTCAGACCGCCTCCTGCCCCTATCCCCTGCGTCCTTAGGGTTCTTGAGCCAAAACGAGCTTAAAATGCAGTGGAGCTTATCAGGAATAGAACTGAGTTAAAATAATATCATAAAAATGTCACCCACATACTGATAGAACATGTTTGGAAACAGATCTGTTTAGGGGTTGGTAATATACACAGAACTCTTACCACAAAACCACCTGACAATGAACAAAGGATGTAAACAGACATTTTCTTTCTAAAGAGGGTGCAGAAATGGCTAACAATAACATGGAAAATAGTCAATATATATAATCCTTAGAAAAATTCACAGTAACCAAAAGATGAGTGTCTACTGAAAACTGGATTTAAAAGCTTGGTATATATATTACTATCATCTCTCACAGCTGTGTTTCTAGACGTCACTGAAAATGTGCCACATAGTTTTCTTCTGTTGTCACTAATATTTTGCAGTTTATCCTTTCCTGGTTGGCAGTCTTTTGCTGTCTGAAATCACAGATGACAGATGTTTACTTATTCTGTGTGCACATATGGATGTGAGAGCGCCACACATATGTGGAGGGCAGAGGCAACTTGTAGGAGTCAGCTGTCTCCGTCTCCATTTGGGTCCTGGGGACCAAACTCAGGTTGTCAGGTTGAGGGCACACACCTTTACCCTTCACATAGCTCTTGGTACACGTCTGCATGCACTGTTCTAGAGCCGTGGTTCTCAACCTTCCTAATTGGGCAACCCCTTAATATAGTTTCACATGCTGAGGTGACCCCAACCATAAAATTATTTCATTGTACCTCATAATTGTAATTTTTCTACTGTTATAAATCATAGTGTAAATATCTGATATGTGACCCCAAGGGGGTGGGACCCACAGGTTGAGAACTATAGGTAAAACTGTCTTAGTGCACACATCTTCAAATTTAGTGATGTCACACTATTTTCCAAAGCTGGCTGATAGTTTACACTACTACCAGAATATATATTATCTCATTTTGCCTTTTCTGCTCGTTTTCAGACTTTCAGATAGGTCATCTGATGCACGGATTATGGTTCTGGGTTTTTGCGTTTCCTGATTACTAAGGAGCTTGAAAGTGCAGTTACTGGCCTTTGAAGAGCCTTTTTTGTGAGTCATTTAGACCTTTTGTGGTTTGAAGCATCCCCTTTCGGTGACTTACTTTCCATTCCATGTTCCTATTTGTTCTGACTCTTGTTGTGGGTTAATTAAAACCAAAGATCCTGAGCTGGTAGCCGTCAATCAGGCAGTGGCTCCCGCGTGTGTCATTCCTGGAGCTTTAGAGCCTCACCATGAAGAGCTTTCTGCTCATGTCAGGGCCTCGGACGGCAGAGAGAAAGATGGAACTTGGCTGGCAATTCTCACTCTCTCCTGGTGCTGCTGATTTCCCCAACTCCAGACAGCATGTAAGCATTTCTGCCTATTTCCACTGTTTTCCTTTTGCAAAAA